GCCGGCGTGGGCCGGGGGGACTAGAGTTCCCAGCATGCCGCGGTCACTGGGTGGGAGGCGCTGGGCATGCTGGGAATTGGAGTTCTCTACGCACGGCATGCTGGGTACTGGGGTTTCTTTGAGCGCGGTCATGCTGGGAATTGAAGCTCTGCGCGCGACAGGCTGGAAACGAGTTTCTCTGAGCGCAGCGTGTGGCGTGCTGGGAGCTGGAGCTGTCCGCGCGCGGTATGCTGGGAGTCGTAGTCCGTAGGGAGGGAGGGGAGTTCCCTCGGGGCTGGGGATGGGCCGGTGCTTTGGCCTGAGCTGACCCTGAGGGGCGACACGTCCCCTGGGCTCTTCACTGCACGGGCAGCCGAGGGGGGGGACCACCCAAAGGGGCTTGTAGGCGCCTCCAGGAATTAGAGAGAAATCTCTTATTTAGACATTTATGTCTAATTTATAGCTCTAATTTAGACAGTCGCGGCAGAGATCAATGATACTAAAATAAACATGAAATGTTGAATCTGATTTATACAGTAGCCCAGTGGGTTTTTTAAATGAAACAGTGCAGCGCATTTGCCTTCCTGACATAAAGTCGTTAGTGTCATTGTATCATGTGATGAAACCTCTTGGAACAGATTCAGAGTTGGCAACCCTAGCGTCTTTGCAAACTCGAAGTCATGAGTCTGGAGCTCGTGAGAGCCTCCCACCTGTCGCAGGCCATTACGCTTCCCCGCGCACCCCAAAGACGAGCCCGATGGCCTGTCTGATGGGTCATGTTTAACAGTCGTGTGTCACGTATTCAGATGGGTGAACTGCACGGTTGGTGGGACCGTTCTCTTTGCATGATGAACACCATTAATGCTTAACGGATGCCACTCCCATTCAGCATAGGCTATTAATGAATGTGTTTCATGAAATGGAAATCAAGTCATCCAATGGCTCTGCTGTAGAGAAATAAGAAAACATCTCTCTAATTTGTACGGGTAAGTTGTGTAAAGCACTATTTGAAAAGCTCTGCCAGTTCTACCACATGGGCCAGACTGAATTAATAGTCAGTTCCTAGTTTCTAGCCTTTCATGTTGTCAAAGGACCCTTCAAAATATGACAGATGCAGGCTCGTTGGCTGCATAAGAAGACAGACACGGGTGACACAATAATGTTAGGTAAGAAATGGAGCCCTGTCCTGTCACCACAGCTCATTAACTTTGAAATCAAATGGAAGCTCCCTTAAATGTTGACACTGTGCTATAAAAATGATCAGCAGTGAAACAACTCAATACACAGCTTGTATGGTTTGTGATGCTTCGGTGAAGTACCTGTCCCCATCTTCCTCCTTAGAATCACAGAATCATACAATGTAAGGGTTGGAAGGGACCTCAGGAAGCACAAACGACTGGTGCCTCCCAAGACTGGGGGAGCACCATGGTGGCAAGCGGGGACTGCCCACAGCTGCCAGCATCGGTGTCAGCCGCAGCGAGCAGGGACCACCCGGTATCGGCGGTGGAGGAGAGGGAGGTTGCGAGTGGGGAGCAGGGACCGCCTGCAGGTGCCACTGGCTGCGTCGACAGCAAGTGTGGGGGCAGGTGGCAAACAGTGACCACCCACAGAAGCCGGCAGTGGTTTTGGTGGTGCCCAATCTCAGGTGGGAAATGTGTCCCCCCATGTCCCCTCTACGCATCACCTATGTCAGGAAGTAATCTAGTCCAATCACTTGCTTAAGGCAGGACCACCCATTCTTGCGGTAACCTTTTGGCTGTAGCAAGTTATAACATCCTTCTCAGCTTTTTTACTGTGAGCCAGTCACCTAAAGGGACTTTCCAAAACAAAAGGATGTTGGCATGTTAATTATTTAAATTGACCAGATTTTCACCAAAGTCCTGTTAGTTATAGCCTGTTCTCTGCTGCCCTATATACACTTCCTTATAATTTTTGTTATGCTTGTTTGCATTTTGTTCTTGCTGTTGTTTTAATGAAGCTGCGTAGTTGAGCTCCAGTATAATACCTGTTGACATTCATGGAACCTTTGCTATTGATTTCAACTGGAATAGGATCAGGCCTCTAAAATACAGGGCATGAACACCTACACATATGATTTCTTTCATAGAACTGAAGGAAAATGAACCAGATGCAGGCTTTGCTGAACGACTGTCTCCTCAGAACAAAGCATGTGGAACATGCAGCCATCATCAGCCTGAAAAAAGGAACTGTATATGCATCAACTTTCGGCTTTAATGTAAGAAAACAGAAAGCGTTCTAAAAAACAACAATGAAGACAGAAAATCTAGGAATGTATTGCCCCTTTCAAGGAGGGAAAATGGACTAGCAATTAAAGCAGGGATTGCTGGGTTCTAATAAGTATTCCTGCAGAGGGCAAACTAGATTTGAACCTTATAGATGAAGTAAATAGGATATATAGCATGAGCTTTCATGAACACAAGCTCACTTCATCAGATGCTGTGAGAGGAGTAGTATATCAAACAGTGATTTGAACACAAAAACAGGGAGGGGAAGGGAAGGGGCAGTGCAGGGAGAGACAAATAAATAATAAGATTACAAAGATAAAGGATTCACAAAAGCTAATCCAGGTAATGCAATATTGTCTTTCTCATATATTCAATTTTGTAATTTATTTATGAGAGACGTCATAAGAATTTTTGTTATCAGTGTGTATTTATTATTGCAAATGTGCATTGTGTTGTTTTATAACAGTATCCCATTATATAAATCTAGCTGCAGCCACAGAGTGCCATAAACCTTCTTTATGCTTTCTACAAGAACTTACTGCAAGTTAGAAGAGAAGGCCTTTACTTCAAAGAGAAGCAATACAGATGTGTCCGAGCAGATGAGTATTCCATCTACATTAAAAAAGTAGGTTGATAATAGGTATGGCAGTTGGGATCACCTACTTAGAAAAGTGCTTTGATAGTTTTCCTCTTTTTCCTCACTTGACTGTTGACGTTAACCTCCAAATTCAAAGTTCAACAAATGTTGCCTCCACCCTCCCTACTACACTTTTGTAATATGGGAGGCAAAGAAATAACGTCACAACACAGAATAGCTACAAGGAAAGTGACAGTATGGGTCAAACTGAACTCTGTTCTGCCTTCTATTTCCAAATTTTCAAACTGAATTCTTTTATCCAAGGTGTTTCAGAGTCTTCAGATTTATATATGGTACAATCACATTTGCTTTCAGGAGGAGTTCAGTGCTACATTTTTCTCATTAAGGCCATTTAATTTCCAGTTGTGTGCAAATGTAGGTGTGAAACCAGGTAGTCAGATTCTCAGATAGAGTGAATTTTAATAGCTTCATTGACATCAGTAGCCAGTGGCATCAGCTGCAAATGTGGACAAAGACCTTGATTCGTCATCACTGAAGTACTTAGGACATTGACTTTGGTGTCAAAAAAAAGAGAGAAGTAAAACTCACCTAAAATACTGGGATTCATACTCTGAACAACTACACTCTGGCAATATAAATTCCAAGACACCCTGTTAGAAGTAGCATGCTATTCTTCCTCCTGTAAAATGTTATGAAATGTTCCTTTGTGCTGTTAAACTGTGCACATGTTCCTTCCCAGAAGTAGCTGAATGCCAATGGGTAGAGTGATTCCCGTACACATGCCCTCACATAAATGTAGAAATTTGCAAATCCTCACACCCCATAATTGGGGAACTTAATTTAGTAATTTATATGCAATCTGAGGCTGGAAGCGGAGGAGCTATGCATCTAACAAATTTGGAGCTTGGTTCAGAAAATCCAGTCATTCTCGATGGGTTTTCTATTCTTTATTGTAAGTTAAGAAGGTTTGGTGTGTGGTATTTGTAAAGAATTTTGGGTTTCTTTCAGATGATGTGTGTTAGGTACATTAAGATATATTAGTCATATTTTATAACATGTAACAGATGAGTACTTCTTTATAATAATTGATTTATAAATAAAGGTGGGAATTTGCAGTAAAATAGGAAGTTATTTATTTCATGGTTTGGTTAGAAAAACATGTATATGAACCCCATTATCACCATACATGTCTTGAATTAGTCTGTAAAAGTATTTTTCCTTTTTAAAGGAGACATGCATCTTGACATTTTAAAGGAGTCAAGATCATCCTTAGCTAGGACATACTAATAAAGACTGTGGTTTTTATTAAAGGAACCTGCAATTCTTTATTAGTTCTAATCTTTTATCTAGCAAGATGGAGGACTCGTGGCTGTGAAAACCAAGTTGTACATCGTGGTTGGTACCTACAGCGAGGGAATGTATCCTAGTGTGTGCGTGGAAGCTGTAGAGAAACTCGGTAATCACTGCATGTGCATGTCTGTCTGACCGTAACTTGTAGAGACAGGTTAGAAGTAGAGTGGAATTTTGCAGCATGTCAGTGAGTAGCTTTTCCATGCATACTGCTTGCAGTGTGTAGGTGGGGTCTTCAGAAACTCTTGAAGGTCTGTCAAGTGAGAAAATAAAAGGTGGTGTCCACACTCTGAGAGAGCTCCCTCTGCTGAACACTCTCCAGGCTGCTGTGTTTGGGACCCACCATGTTAGAGTTACCTGTTAGCATTCGACTGATCATATCAGTAAGTCACTGAAATTCCTTTATTAAATCCAAGGGGCAGTAGCAGTCACACAGTTAAAAATGTTCTCAATTATTATAACAAATACTGTATATTAGATGGCACTATTACTGCACTTATTAATGATGATACACACAGTAACTACAGTTACAAACATTTGATGACATTACTTACAGCTGGGCTAGTGATGGAGAAATTCTAGGTGCCTCAGGCTGGTTGATTCCAGCAGATCCAACACAGACTAGCAAAGAATCCCTTTGCTTTGCTCCACTCTGTTTTATCCCTCTAAATTTATCATTTTGAAGTGCCCGCCTTCTAGAAATGGATCCACCTCCACACCCATCTTATCTTGCCCCAAACAAAAGCCTTCCACTTTCCTTGTTTACCCTTACTCCTTAGCCTTACTGTTGCCGTCTACCACCTCTTTTCCTATATTAACAAACCTATGTTAACTCCTGTCCTTTGTCTGATTTGTAGTGCTTTAGCTGTCTCAACCTGTCTTTCCTTTTTTGTGCTTAAACTATGGCTTTTAACAAGTGTGATCTATGCTTATTTTGTATTCTGTCCCCACCCCCCAAAAACAACAACAACACAAAACAAAACAAAAAAATCAAATACCAAAAAACCGTCAGGGCAGCATATTATACAAGGATGCGAGAGAACAAAAAATTATGTAGCTTAAAATTATTAAAATAAGAAGGCACAACAAAATAACCCTAACCCAAATTCAAAAGCAATCTACCCCATCCCACTCCCTGCCACTGCCCTGCCTCTAATTAAGGAGGGAATCCTCCACCCAACCCAACCTCCCTTCCCAACCCATATTCACTTGCTTCATAAAAGAAATCAGTAAAAAAATATCCCCCCTCTGCACATTCCTTCCCATCCCTACTTATTTCTGCTCCTCTGCTTGTAGCCATAGGAGTCCTCTCCTTCCTTTACTGTCTCTCCCAAGCCCATAACTCCCATCTCATGGTGGTGAGGGGTGCTGTGGCTGTCCTGAAACCAAGTCATCCTCCCTTTCCTCCCACAAGAAACCCATTATTCAAAAACAATGTTTAAGAATGTGTCCTTAATGTACTGTACCATAATCCCTACTACATGCTAGACACCAAGCTTTCCTTGGTCAGAAAAGATTGTGACATCCTCTCTTTCCTTAGCTTCTCTGGCAATAAATTTCTTCCCCCCTTGGAAAAAATAAAGATAGCCATCATTCTTCTTGTAGTTTAAGGTGGGGGGGACACAATTACAGATTACTGTAATCAGATTTAACTGTAAATGCTCCATTTTTTGAAGGAGATGTCCTTACGAAAAAAAAAAGAACCTTGATCTCTTACTGTAATAAATATTCATCTTATTTTAAAGTTACACAGTGTTTGGAGTAATACCCATTAAATATAAACAATAACATGTTAAATAGTCCACTAGAAATGCTGATATCTGGTTTGGGTTTTGATTCTTTTCCTTCCATGACAGTATATTTTACTGTAGAGAAATGTATATGTTCTACTGTACAGCAAGTATGAATTTGTGCTTAAAAGTAACACCTTCATTATGGAAGACATTTAAAAAAAAATAAAAAACACCTTCTATTTGTTTTCTCTCTTTTTTGACTGTTTGTAGCTGACTATTTGAGAGAGAAAGGAAGTTAAATCCACAAAGGATTTCAACTTGACCAAGCTTCTAAATACTGTTTCATTAGAAAATTCAAGACAAAAGAAGCTAGCCGCCTTCTCTCACAGAAGATCCTCACATGTACTATATACTTGTCAGAAACTCAGTAGCTTAATGAAGATGTGACATTACCACTTAGGCCAATGTAAGGTTTCAGATTCTTCTGTGTGCCTGAGCATGTTTTGAATAAAATAACCTTTGTTTTACATGTCTGTCTGCATTGCTATTGCTAGATATATAAAGCTATTTTAAAATATAATGAACTATACTTGCATAGAAAAAAAATACTGCATAGCTACCTGTTTCTAATAAAATTAAACAGGATTTTGGTTCTCTATCAAGAAGGTCTTTATATTTCTCTATAGCAGAGGTTCCCAAACTTCTTCTTATTGTATAACCCCTTCCAGATTTACCAGCTGCCTGTGTACGCCTGTGGCAGAGTGGGCTTCTCTCAGGCCAGCCGTCGCCGGCCTCCCACCTGCCTCCGGGCATGCCGCCCACCTATCTCGCCCGCCACACCTTGCTGGAAAATTAATAAGCTGTTAAATAAGGCAGGAGGCTGCCTATTTTTTTTGCCCTGATGCCAGGGGGCACTATCTGCAGCTCTGTTCCTCCCCTACAGCGCAACCCAAGCCTTGCAGATGGCATCCAGATGTTAATAAACACACCAGTCCCACACTGGGCTCCAGAGTCCTCCTGGCAGGACCCTCCTCTCAGGTGGCCTACGCTGCCTTCATCCGGGCTGCTGAGCTTCTCGTAGCTGGCTCCCCTCTCGCGTGTGGTCCCCACTCAGGACTTTTGGCCCTACACAGGCCCTGGCCCCACCTCAAAGGCCAGGCGGGGTCCCAGGCCCACAGCCCTGGGTGCCCCTCGCGGTGGGCCTCTGGCCCTTTTGACCAACTTGGTCCTGGCCCCAGCATGGGCCAGTCAAGGGGGCTCTCTACCTCCGGCCTCACTAGCCCCACATTCTCTCCAGGTCTACCTTCCTGGATGTGGGGAGCTGGGGTACCTCACACCACGACTGGTGCCCCAGGGTCTCACAGGGGACTCTCACTTCCCGCCTGGGGCAGCAGGTCATGGTGCTACTCCGGATGTTACTTTCAACCCACACTCTGCTTCCCAGCAGTGGAGGACTTATCGGGGTCAGGACTCGTCTCTCTCGCTCTGGGGCTGAGCGCCTCGTTCACTCAGCCCCTGGCCCAAATCTCGGCCTCAGGCATCTGGAGACTTACCTGGGCCTAATCCCTTTGCTTGGGGCTCCTCATCACCCCCCCTCACTTGGGGCTCCAGATCTCTGTCCCTTACTTGGGGCTACCCCCTCACCGGGGCTCTACAGCTCTGCCCCTCACTTGGGGCTAGGACACCACCCCTTACTTGTGGCTACTGATCTCAACCCCCTTCACTAGCACTACCCCATCACCG